TTCAGATCATGGAAGCGTAACCAAATGAGATACCTGCCAGCACCATCCGGACTTTCCTAATCACAACTGTAAATCTGAAAGCCGATTGATCATAGCTTTAAAATGAACCCCACTAGCCAGGTGTGGTGGCCCATGCCTGTGATCCCACCACTTGGGAGGCTGAGGCAGGAGGACCACTGAGAGTTCGAGACCAGCCTGGGCTACAAAGTGAGCTCAAGGCCAGCCTGAGCTGCACAGTGAGACCCTGTCTCAAAAAGACCAAAAGATAAATAAATAAATAAAATGAACCCCACCGCCTGTGGATGCTTCTGGAGTCCTTTGTGGTAATGACACTACTCTGGAGCCAAACTGGTTTGTAGCTCTTGTCTTTGATATCACCTTCAATATCTTGGGAATTTTTTTGTTTTGGGGGATTGCTGATTTTGGCTTTTTGTTGTTGTTAATGATGATGATTTTGTTGTTTTCTGGTGTTTTGAAACATCATCTGGATATGCAGCCCAGGCTGGCCTTGAACTTGCAATCCTCCCACCGCAGCCTCCCAACTGTTGGGATTACAGGCATACGCCACGATGCCACACTCGTGGGAAAGTACCTTAAAATTGATTTTTCCTTTTGTTAAATGTATTGGTACATTTTAGGTATATATAATGATCACACTCATCACAGGGAATTTGTACCTGAACATGATATAAGTTGGTTCTTTTTTCCCCCATTTCTCTACCTACCCTTCAACCCCTTTTCCCCTCTTTATATGCAAAAGATTTTTTTCCATTTTTCCTTCCTTTTCTCTTAACTTTTTATTTCAGAATCATTATGGATTCATAGGAAGGTACGAAAACAGTACAGAATCCCACGGTAGGCTTCACAGAGCTTCTTCCAGGGCAGCGTCTCACACTGCTGTGGTGTCGTGTTGATGCTGGGAAGTTGGCATTGGTACCATCTACCCTCCAGTTTGATTTTGAAGTCTTTAAAAAAATTATTTTAAAACTGAGTTAGAGCTTGAAGCACAAGATGTCGATGCTTACTGCAGAGTAAGAACTCCAGGGCACAGGCTGGCCTCTGACTGAGGACTGTTTAGCAGCTTGGGGTTGTACTACAGGTTCCCAGGGCCTGTGAGGCCCAAAGCCTCCAGGAGGTGCAGCGGCACCCAAGCTCCTCAGCCGGCTTTGTGCTCGAGGTCCCAGCCCTCTCGTCCTCCTCCATCTACTGTGACAGATACTACTGCCACCATCCCAGGCAGCGGGCAGAAGACTGGAGGAGGAGGAGCAGAGCTGTCGGCGATGGGCTGAGGGAGAGGGGGAGGGTTGGGGGCTGGGGATGCGCAACGTGCAGCAGCTGTCACCAAAGTCTCCTGGGCCGGATTCCAACAAACATACCCCAGTGCAGAACCAGAGGCAGCGGCTCCAAGTCCCACTCTGGAGGGGAGGGAGGACAGGAAGCCCCTCCGGGTCCTCGGTGCAGTCCAGGAAGTTTGTATTTGTAATCCCAAGGAAACGTTATTGTAATTCCAATAAGTTAATTCCAATCTACCACTTCCAGCACAACCCATGGCGAGAATAAAGACACTAAGGCATATTTGTAGTTATGGGGAGCCAAGGGGTCCTAAGTCCAGCCGTGGTGATGGCTATCTGGAACAAAGGCCTCCACCCAGGGCTGAACCCAGGCTTCACTAATTCGTGAAGAAGGGAGTGGTTGAGGATGAGTGACTGTAGTTGTGGTGGGAAGGAGGTGAGTGCTGTGAGCGGGGCTAGGTAGGAGGCCTGGAATCACCTCTGCAAACGCAGAGAGAAGCATCTGCAGAAAGAGTGATCTGCATAACACAATTCAAGGTAGTATCTAATGTTTTGGGCCAGTGCTTCAGCTCTGATGTGTAATTTTCTCTGCCCTGGGAAGTCACAGCCTCTGATCTCAAGGCTGGATCCCAGCTGACAGTGTGGCTCTCCCTCCCGCCTGGCACATACATGGTTTTCTGGGAGCTACGGGGGTGGGGTAACACTGATCTGTCACCTTGCTTCAAAGACTACACGTCAGGGCCGGGGACGTAGCTCAGCAGCACAAGCGCCTGCCTGGCAAGCACAAGATCCTGAGTTCAATTCCCGGTGCAAAAAAAAAAAAGACTATACCTCGTCAGCACCTCAGCTGGGCTGATTTGCATTGCTTAAAGCTAACTGAAGGGATAAGAAAAAGTCCTGGCCAGCTCTGTACACATCAACACATGAAACAGGGCAAGTTCAGCCTACATGGAAACAATAGCTCCTCCTTCAAGCAGAGCCATCCAGGTGGTCCTTCACAGAGAGGAAAGGCCAGTTGTGAGAGAGAGAGAGAGAGAGAGAGAACACCCTCTAAAAGAAGCATTCTCATAGTGAGTTATTCAGGTTGTGACCCTAACTCTAGCTATGATAATAAAGAGAGAATCCAAAAAGCCACAAAAAAG